GTTACAAAAAAAATGTAGGTTTATTCTATCTTGTATAGTGTATGTCATATCTGTATTTTTTTAAGTATTCGCTGGCCTGTGATTCCATCTTTGACTGTTACACGAACAGGAATCGTAATATTATGCGTAAGGAATTTTAAAATAACGCTGGTCCGGTCAAAATTTGCGACTAATTTAGACAATGCCTCCGAATGGACTGTCCAATTAGAAAATAACGAATGGCCGTTTGTCAACCGATTTATGCGCATTAGTCAATTGTCCTTTTTTATATGAGGAAATTACTTTTGACCTTTAGCTGTTTTCGGTGTCTATTATATTTTCCACGTCACTCACTCAGTGTTATTCGAAGGTAATGTTAAAATATCGTTGAGTTTCATAAATCTACATGCCCAAAATTCAAAATATCCATAATATCCAAGTATAAATAATGTCAAGATTAATTACATACTGTTTGACTGTACGACCTCCGTGGCCGAGTAGTTTATACGCCGGGTTTCATGGTGTCACTGACTCAAGAGGTCCCGGGTTCGAATCCCGGTGGGGGCAGATATTTGTGTGATGAATACGAGCATTTGTACTCCAGTCATGGATGTTTAATATGTATTTTCTATGTAAAAGTACTTATATATGTACAGTATATGCATTCTATCCGTTACTGGACTGGGACTGGGATAATTGGTGTGTATTTAAAAAGAAACAAGTGTGTTTTATAAACAGTCGATTTGATTTCTATATGATGGTAATGATGGTATATTCTCAATGTAACATCATCATCAGCCGATAATGTCCCCACTGCGATTTGGCTGTGACCCACTACGCGGGCCCAGTGCGCATGGGTGAGTGCTAACGACTGCAGATGCAGCTGGGACCCTCGCCTTAACGTGCCTTTCGAAGCACGGAGGAGCTCAAGATAATAAGTAGGTATTTGCTCTCCCATCCAATGACCGACCATTGCGCAAGTTGCTTAACTTCCACGATCGCAGGCCGAACGCGCTAACCACCTGCGCCATCGAGCTCCTCACATAATACTAACACAGAACACAGAACTAGGTACCCTCAAGTTTTAATAAAGGCCCTGCTTATAATAATTCGCTTCGTTGTTTTCTAAAGGTCCACTTCATTCTGATCTAATTTAAGTAAAAGTATTTTGAGAAAATGACGCCGCCGCGGTCGAATATAAGGGCTTTCACCTATCGTGGCTTCAAAAAAGCTAGACTATGTGACCAAACATTTAAAGTCTGATTTTCAATGCAACACTGTTTCCAATTGAGGTAGTGAAGTGTGGTTTGAGCCGTCTCTTCTCAGTTGGCTGCGACAAATTATTGGAGTGCAGCGTCAAAGGAGGAGGACAGAAATGTTTGGTACACGTACTTTATAAATTTTCAACAGATTTCCTGAAGAAATACGATTTCGACGGGCTCGACCTGGACTGGGAGTACCCTGGTGCCATCGACCGCGGTGGCTCCTCCTCCGACAAAGACAACTTCCTGTGCCTGGTGCGAGAGCTGAGGAGGGCCTTCATCAGAGCCGGGAAAGGCTGGGAGTTGACTGCTGCCGTGCCACTTTCGAGCTCCAGACTGAACGAGGGATACCACGTTCCGGAGCTTTGCCAGTAATTATTTTATAAAGAATTCTTCGAATTTTAATAACTTTTGTGCGGCTTCGGCTATGTGATTTCTTGAAAAAATGTAGGTAATAAAAAAAACAGTTGGGTGACTCATTTTTAGGATTTGATAACATAAGATGACTTTTTTCACATGGATATACAATTTATTGTTTTAAACTTTCATGATCACTAATATTATAGTAATTTATGTTTTTTACAGGATTGCTACCATGTACCTCGTTTTTAGCGAGTTTCCGATATTTCGGCACTGTTGCAAGCGCTATAATTACTCCGTACCTGGTACATGGGTACCTACCAATCCCGTAAATAACTTATATTACTATAATGGATATACAATGTCCAACAGTCTCTCCTTTTCATTCCTTTTGCCGGTTAATTTTGCCATTAATTTTGCCGGTTTATATAGCCGTATAAACAGCTTCATATGTTTTTTTTCTTAAATCCATTATATTTTTTGGCTCAACTACAATTCTTTCTAATTCAAACTTTCCGCCCTCAGGGAACTGGATGCGGTCCACGTGATGTCGTACGATTTGCGTGGCAACAGCGATGGTTTCGCCGATGTACACTCTCCCTTATACAGACGCCCTCATGACAAAGGGGCCTACAAGAAACTGAATGTTGTGAGTTCATTTGTACCATAACATCTTAGTTATAATACACAGTCAGGTCTTAAGTATTGTCACACAGTAAAAACTTTTCTTTTCTTGAATTCGAATTTCGAATTGTTCATGAAAATAAAAATGTACACTTTTTAGAATTTTACTCATTTTTAAATATGGAGTGGACACTTAAAGAAGACCGTGTTGCAGTTCAAATTTTTGATATACTGAAAAATATGAATATAACTGTGGCATGAATGCATCCTATTAAAGTTATGACTATTGTGAATGTTTCCATTAGACATTTTGCTAGGATACTCTATGATTGTGACAGGTATTAATATTAGGACTTCTACAAATAAAACCCTCTTGTTTGGTTATTTAATTTGACTCTTTATTTAATACCACATGGCGCAGTCGGTAAATTATGGCTAGTTCGTACAATTTGCCAGCAGGACTATCCCTGTCGGGGAATTTAAGTGTAAATTGGCGGAAATTTTCACAAGCATTGGAAATTTATCTCGAGGCAAGTGGTTTACAAAATGTCGGCGAATCAAGAAAAATTGCCATTTTACTCAACATAATCGGTGAAGAGGCTCTAGCCGTTTATAATACTTTTGAATTCGAGGATAAAACGTTAACCTTAAAACATGTTCTTGACAAGTTTGAAGATTATTGTAATCCGAAGAAAAATGTTCTACACTGTCGATTTAAATTCTATAACAGAAAACAGCAAGAAGCTGAACAATTTGAACATTTTCTTACAGACAAAAATGTTAGCAAATGATTGTGAATTTTGTACTAATTGTAAAGAAAAAATTATTCGAGACAGGCTAGTTTTCGGTACAACTGACACAGATTCGCAAAATCAACTTATAAAAAAAGGCGACCCTAACTTGGACGATGTTGTTAGAATGCTAATAATAACAGGATTGAGTGAAGATCACATTCGTGACATCAGAAAGTCTGAAGTAAACACTGTTTCTACAAACTTTAAAGAAACACAGAATAAAAGACAAAAGCAATCTTGTCTCAGATGTGGATATGAGCATAAATATGGTCAGTGCCCAGCTTTTAACAAGACGTGTGCAAAATGTCAAGGTAAAAATCATTTCGCAAAAATGTGTCGAAGCAACTTAAAGAAAACTGTAAATGAACTAAAAGTAGATCCTGAACCAGATTATTTTTGTGGTGCAATTCTGTCTAGAACTCTGAAGACTCATTCAGTAGGATGGTATCAAGACCTCATTATAGGAAATGAAAAAATCAATTTTAAACTTGATCCAGGATCAGATGTTAATATTATTCCAATCAAACTCTTTAAGCAAATAGCAGCAAGCTCGTCTTTTCCTTTGCAGTTAAACAAAAGTTCAGCTGTGCTAGAGAGCTGGAATGGGTATAAAACACCTATTGAAGGTACTATTAGACTAACCACAAATTTAAATGAAGGAAAATTTTAAGAACTTTTTTGTATTGTCGGTGGAGACTTGTCAGTGCCCATTTTATCCCGGGACACTTGTGTCAAATTAAATTTAGTAAAAAGAGTGGAATCATGTGAAAAGACATATGACTTTGAAAAAGAAATGTTGATAAAAAATAACAAGGATTTATTCACTGGCATTGGTAAGATTGAAAAACCATATGATTTAAAATTAAAAAAGAACTCTGTTCCATCTTCGAAAACCCCATATAGAGTGCCATTAAAAATTAGGCCTCAGTTAAAAGCTGAACTAGATAGATTAACAAACTTGGGTATAATTTCAAAAGTTGATGAACCCTCAGATTGGGTAAATAGGCTAGTAATAGTTGAAAAACCAAATGGTACTATTCATTTATGCTTAGACCCTAAAGATTTAAATAAATGTATAGTAAAGGATTATCGTTCAATCCCAACTGTTTCGGAATTGTCAGTTAAAATTCAGAAAGCTAAATATTTTTCGGTATTAAACCTAAAAGATTCATTTTTTCACATAGTACTAACAGAAAACAGTTCTAAATATTGCACATTTTCTAGTATATTTGGCACATACAAATTTAATAGATTACCTTTTCGTATAGCCGTAGCATCTGAAGTATTTCAAAAATATTTATCTGAATTTTTTTCCGATATTGAAGGGGTTATAAATTACATAGACGATACACTTATCTTTGCAAGTACTGAGGAGGAAATGAATTTGATTTTAGATAAAGTTTTTTCACAAGCTAGAAAATTTTAATGAAACTAAGTTTCAGTACATGCTTCGGAAAGTGAAATATTTAGGTCACATTTTTGAAAATGGAACTGTAAGCCCTGACCCAGATAGTATTAAGGCAATTTTAGATTATGATACACCTAAAAATAAACAAGATATTCAAAGACTTTTGGGCTTAGTGAATTATCTGAGATCTTTTATTCCAAACTTATCTGAATTAACTGCTCCCCTACGTGAATAAATAAAAAAAGATATTCACTTTGATTGGCAAAAGGCCCATACAGAATGTTTTAATACAATTAAATTAATTCTGACTACTCATCCTGTACTACACATGTTTGATCCAAATAAAAACATAATTATTCAGACAGATGCTAGTAAAACAGGCATTGGATGTGTATTGTTACAGGAAAATAAGCCAGTATATTATGCTTCTAAATCACTCTCTTCACTGAAATTAACTATGGACAAATCGAGAAGGAATTCTTGGCAATATTGTTTGCATGTAAAAAATTTCACACTTTTGTGTATGGTAAGACTATTACAGTACAGACTGATCACCTTCCTTTAATATCTATCATGAAAAAAGATATAGCTAACATTCCCTCAACAAGATTACAAAGAATTAAACTGAAACTCAGTATGTATGACTTAAATTTAGTTCATGTATCTGGAAAAAATATGTACATTGCTGATGCGTTAAGCCGTGCTTCTTCTGGAGCTAGTATAGATGTTGAGCCAGACTTAAATAATGTAATACATTCAATTAATGTGTCTGACAGCATACTCTCCCAAATTAGTATAGATAACTTTAAAGGTGATGTATTTACTAAACTTCTTGAATATGTAAAAAATGGGTGGCCAACATCCATCACAAAAGTACCAGATCTAGTTAAACATTATTATAACTTTAAGAATGTCATGTATATTGAAAATAATATATTATATATTGATAACAGGCTCTATGTACCTAGATCTATAAGACAAATTATACTAAAAAAAGTTCATGAATGTCATTTTGGGATCACCAAGACTAGAGCTAGAGCTAAATTATTGTTTTATTGGGTTGGGATGGATGTTGACATTAGTAATTATATAGAAAGTTGCATGGTATGTAAGAAATTTTCTAATAACAATATTAAAGAACCTATGTGGATTAGGGACCAACCTGAACTGCCATTTCAACAAGTTTCTGTTGACATTATGCAATATGGAAATCATGACTATTTAGTTCTAGTAGACCATTATTCGAAATGGTTGGAGCTCCATAAGTTAAACAGCAAAACTGCAGATTCAACAATAAAGATTTTAAAGATCATATTTTCAACACATGGAATTCTTAAGATCTTATATTGTGATAATATGCCCTTTAACTCATCAACTTTTCTAGAATTTAGCAGACAATGGCATTTCAAACCAATATTCTCCAGTCCTCATTATCACCAAAGCAATGGGGCTGCAGAGAAAGCTGTTGGAATATGTAAAAACTTAATTAAGAAATGTAATGAAACTAATTCTGACTTGTCAAACTTCATATTGGAATATAGGAATACTCCAGTTTGTGGAACAAAATTTTCTCCGTCACAGTTACTTTTTAATAGACTTTGCCGCACAAGACTACCAATACAAAAAGATTTACTCAAGTCAGAATTGGTTCCTAATTTCAAACCACAATTGTTAAATAATGCATATAGACATAAGTACTATTATGATGTTAACTCTAAAACTAGAAGTGATAAATTTGTTGCAGGTCAAAAAGTCTATTATAAGGAGGATGAAAGGTCTAAAATCTGGAAATCTGCCAAAATTGTAAAGGTTTTGAACAACCCTCGTTCTGTACAAATAATTGATAATAATGGAGTCCTAAAAACTAGAAATACTAAATTTATTAAAACAAGCATGGAAAAAGAAGTAGATTCTAGCTATCCAAGTAATAATGATTGTGTTCAGAATTATTGGAGTAGTTCCTGTCAGATCAATATTAATGACAGCGATCAAAACCTTCAACAGTGTAACTCTCAATCTCAACCCTTAATTAGACGGTCTAATAGGGAAACCCGTCCTCCTCCTTATCTCAACAATTATGTCTTTGATTAATAATACTGAGCTCTGAATTACCTAATCATTCATATGGTATTTAAATTATTATAAAAGGGAGATGTGGCATGAATGCATCCTATTAAAGTTATGACTATTGTGAATGTTTCCATTAGACATTTTGCTAGGATACTCTATGATTGTGACAGGTATTAATATTAGGACTTCTAGAAATAAAACCCTCTTGTTCGGTTATTTAATTTGACTCTTTATTTAATACCACACAAAAGATTCATATATCGTACCATCAAACGATACAATGAAGACTCTAGTGTAGATGACAGGTCAAGAAGTGGTCGCCCTCGGTCTGTTAGGACTCCAGCAGTGATAAAAGCTGTGAATTCAAAGAAATCCCAAACGTAAGCCGAAACTGTTGGCCCTTCAGATGGGGTTAAGCAGAACCAAGGTGAAAAGGGTGTTAAATGATAACTCAGGGCTTCAGGCATATCGAAGAAAAACAGGACATCGTTTGAATGCTCGTCTAATGGACCTGAGACTGAAGAGATGCCGCGCGTTGAAGCGGTACGGGGGAAAAAAATATCGGATTTTTTTTTTTCGGATGAAAAAAATTTTACCGTAGAAGAGAGCTACAACAAACAAAATGATAAGGTGTACGCACACAGTAGTAAAGAAGCGAGCAACCGTATTCCGCGTGTCCAACGAGGCCATTTTCCATCCTCGCTCATGGTATGGTTGGGAGTTTCTTATTGGGGCTTAGCAGAGGTACATTTTTGTGAGAAAGGTGTAAAAACGAATGCAGTTGTGTATCAAAATACAGTCCTGACGAACCTTGTGGAAGCTGTTTCTCATACCATGTTCAATAACAGGCACTGGGGATTCCAACAAGATTCGGCGCCAGCTCATAGAGCGAAGAGCACACTAGACTGGCTTTCGGCGCGTGAAATCGACTTCATCAGGCACGAAGACTGACCCTCCTCCAGTCCAGATTTGAGTCCCTTAGATTACAAGATATGGCAACACTTGGAGGAAAAGGCGTGCTCAAAGCCTCATCGCAATTTGGAGTCACTCAAGACATCCTTGATTAGGGCAGCCGCCGATATTGGCATGGACCATGGACCTCGTTCGTGCTGCGATAGACGACTGGCCGCGCAGATTGCAGGCCTGTATTCACAATCACGGAGGTCATTTTGAATAAATTTTATTGTCATAAGAATCTATGTTTTGTAAAGTTCATTTTGGTATATAAATGGTTACATAATGAATAAACTTGTTTCAATTATTTTATATTAAACATGTGACAGAATTTATGACCTGATTAGGTACATTTAATGGTGAGAACAACGTAACGTCTGTGGCCGAAAACCGGATTAAAGTTCAATTGTAATTTTGTTATAATTAGGGGCACGGTACCCCAAGCACGAACCAATATCGAATTCGTATCGTTTGCGAGTCCGAAATGTCATTGTCAAATGTATACTGATTTTTAGTTCTCGTTACGTACTTTGTGCCGCTGCTGTTCAAGTTTCCATACAAAATTTGGCATTGACATTTCCGTTTGCAAACTATTCGAATTCGATATTGGTTCGTGCTAAGGGTACAGATCTAGGAGTGCGTATTGTGTGCGTAAGCGAAGTGACCAATGTCAGGGGAAACTTAGAATATTGCAATCAATTATCTTGTTTCAGAACGACGGTCTCAAGTTATGGGAAGACAAAGGCTGCCCTACCAACAAGCTAGTCGTCGGCATACCTTTCTACGGGCGCACTTTCACCCTGTGTGCCGGTAACCATAACTACGAACTCGGGACTCCCATCAACAAGACGGCCGGTGGCGGTAACCCCGGTCCTTATACCAATGAGACTGGATTCATGGCTTATTACGAGGTAAGAAAAATAATCTGTCCTGTAAGAATTTTTTAAGTATCTCTGTCTGTTTCCTCAACATGCTTTAACCACTGAACCGATAATTAGGTATCTTATAGGTATTTTATTTCAAGAAGAATCAATCATAAATTTGTATAATAAGTTCACCACGATATCATTTATAATATAAAACAATCTTTTATATTATATATATGTTTCGTCGCTGCCGGAAACCGACTACCACTTTTCCGTAACTGAACCATCTCCTTTGTTATGTATTTTAAAGCAGCTAGTCATGGATATAAATGATAATTAACGAATTAATTGAATCCTGAAAATCTTAAGTTGCGTTTCCACCTAATGTTCATAATTTCCGAGTGAGCAAACATTTGTTCGCTCGGTAAATGGAATGCTCAGAATAATGTTACCTTGTTTCCAATTATGACTGAGTAACTCTCTTACTCAGTCATATTAACATTCGTTTCCTAAGATCAGTCAAACATCATTGTACGAATCTCTGATATTTTCATTTACCGAGAGAGGAAATGTTTGCCCGTTCAGATCTGTTATGAGCTTAAGTAGAAACGCAGCTTTACATATGGAAATGTCTGCATTATTATGTTTCGACAGATCTGCATGAAGGTGGACAATCCGGAGTTCGGTTGTATCAAGAAATGGGACAAGTACGGCAAATGCCCGTACGCTTACAAAGACACCGAATGGGTTGGGTACGAGGACCCTCGCAGTGTGGAAATCAAGATGAACTGGATTAAGGAAAAGGGCTACCTGGGCGCCATGACATGGGCCATTGATTTGGACGACTTCCATGGTCTTTGTGGGGAGAAGAACCCGCTGTTGAAACTGCTCCATAAGCACATGAGCTCATATTGTGTCCCGCCAGCTAAGACCATTATACAATGGTTTATTGAAGAAGGAAGGATGACACCATACAAAATTATAATTAAAACAGTTGTGGATACCTTCATAATAAAAAAATTTCATTGTTGACAAAAAACATTCTTATTACTTAGTATTAAGGTTTACAGTAATTTATAACACCTATTAGACATACATTACACCCTGCCACTTATTCTTTGATACACAAACCAAATAATAATAATAATGAAGTACCGTTAGTGAGGGTTACTTTAGCCCGGACGGGTAACTTTGTCCCAAATCAGAAAAAATATTGAACTTGCCGCCCCATCAGTATCTCTTGGCTGACCGTAATAGTTCCAGTTGAAAATCACAGATAGCCATATAGGCGCGTAGTGTGGTGTTGTTTTACCGACATCGTTCCTGTATCAAGTTGTCACTGTAACGCGGGATTTTTTGTAACTGAAATAGTTCGCAAGTTCATGCGCAAACTTTCTCAAAACTGTGGTTTCGGTAAGGTTACTATTTTTTCTAAATTTAAAGTTATATTTTTTATTTAACTTAATTATTTTTGGGCAAAAACATCCATTTGTGTATTCAGTATGCTAATGGTGATCTGTTATAAGCGTTACTTAACCCCAATATGGCTTAAAATGAGTTTTTTCACAGAGAAAACTCAACGAGCTAAAGTAACCCTCTTTAAGGCCAACTTTGGCCCAAAATAAAAAAATAAATATTAACCCTTAAATATTTTTTTTTCCTATTTTCGTATGATAACCTTGAAACTTATACTTTAAAGTTCACAATGGAAAGATATAAACGTGACATATTCATCACAGAGAAAAGCTACAATTTTTTTTTGAAAAAAAAGTGCACATTTTTGGTCAAAGTAACCCGCAGTTACTCGGTACAAAAGAAAATATAATGACAACTATATTGTATAACATCCTAAAAAAACAAATTAATTTCAATAAAACACGGGGTTACCGAATCTTTCCACCGGTTTTCTGACCCGTATACATATGTCCGGATCGTCTACTGCAGGCGCGGCGGCTGGCGCGCCAGAGCTATCAGTTGACTCCGAACTGGGGCACGAAAGAATTGAAATCTACAATCTCCTTCGTATCTGATCTATGTGCCTCTTAATAAGTTGACCGTTTTCCCGAGCTACACTATAACTACGGGAACCTATTTTTTTTTCCATTTTACCCTTAGACCTTTTATCATCCCCCGTGCCAAAATCTCTAACCCATACCTCCTCTCCTACTTCAAAACTACTAACGAGACCCCCCGAGATTTTTTATCTGATTTTCCGGCGCTATTTGTGCGTTGGTTGATCTAATCTAGATCGTAAATTCCTATGTTGCTACAACATAGCTGGTGTTTGACCCGTAGAACTAACTATAAACCGTGTTTCGATATACATAAAGATAAGACTGCAGCGCTGTGTCAAAATATTTTTTTTCATGTAAAGCTTTCTTTAGAGCTTTTTTGCAGAGCTTTACCGCGTTTTCAGCCGCCACGTTCAATGACGGATGGTACACAGGAGTGAAGGTGTGGTTTATACCATTATGTACCATAAAATTACTTATTTCTTTGCTAGTGAATGGGGGTCTGATATCAGACACTATTTCTTTCGGGAGACCGAACCGAGAAAATATTTCCGTTAAAACTTTAATTACGTCCCTGGCTGTCTGATGAGACATTCTATATGCCTCAATCTATTTTCTTGTCGAATCCACCGCTACAAAAAAAGTATACCCGTTAGAAGGCCCCCAAAAAGTCTATGTGCAGTCTACTCCAGGGCTCGGAGAGATCCCCCCCCCCCTTGTAGTTCTGTCCTGCAAAGAGTGGGGCGGCGGAAGGAGCTGCAAGGGCACGCCCAAGTAGCCCTCCGCAGCGGACGGGGGGCGGTACGGTGGGCACTAGGCCGCGTACTCAGCCCCCACGCGCGGGCATACCTGCGCACGTCTGCGGGGTCCCCGCGATACCCCGGGAGACCCCTGCCGTGGAGCCCCGGCTAGGCCGGGAGGCTGCTAGGTGCGAAGACGCTGAAGAATCCCTAAACGGGGATCCCGCGGCTTCGCGCTAAGCAGCTTAGAGGGTATCCGCAGGGTTTTTTAGAGTATATTATGCCGTAAAGCGCCCGTAAGAGTTACGAGGTCCTCAGTGGGTAGCCACTGCTGGGGCTTGTAAAGCTTGCGGGAGCCAGGTGTGAGGTCCGTTCGGCGGTGTGCTTCTAAAAGGCGCCGTCCTCTGTCAACAGTATTTTTTGCCTGCGTATAAAAAAAACGGGCTCGGAGAGATAAGGCCACGGGCTTGTGGACACGTGCGGCGGAGAAGGAGCCTCAAGCGCACACACTACACACTCTCGGCAAGTTCGCTCCATATCCGCGTCTATCCCGGGCCACCAAACGTAACTACGAGCTATGCTTTTCATCTTTACTATACCCATGTGTCCCGTGTGCTTTCAAATACAATTATGCAGCTCAGATGTTACCATCCGATATCCCCACATGATATATCCCGAGTCTAAATATAATTAATTTCGCCTAGAAAAATAAGGTTCTATGTCTGATGCTGGACATTTATCTGGCCACCCTGAACGTAAAAACATACTAATTCCCGTTAAAGTTTTATCATCTTTAACTTTTTTACAAGCTAAATCTTTTGATATTGGTAAAAAATCCTGAACAAAATTCACATATGTTATTACTTCGCTTTCTACACAACTATTTTCAACAGGTAGCCTAGGTAATGCATCCGCGCTCAATGGAGTATGAACCGACCGAGAGAAGAGGAGCTCGATGGCGCAGGTGGTTAGCGCGTTCGGCTGCGATCGTTGAATTTAAAGAACTTTCACAGTGGTCGGTCATTGGATGGGTGACCAAAAATCTATCTCGGGTTCCTCTGTGCTTCGGAAGGCACGTTAAGCCGTTGGTCGCGGCTGCATCTGCAGTCGATAGCACCCACTAATCCGCACTGGGCCCGCGTGGTGGGTCATGGCCCAATCTCCCTGTTCCATCCATAGGGAAGGCCTGTGCCCCAGCAGTGGGGACATTAATAGGCCGATGATGATGACGACATACTCAATATTAAATTGATATCTTGATAAAATAACCGCCTATCTCTGGTACCTGCTGGCCACCATGGTAGGTATACCTGCCTTTTCACCAAAAATACTGACGAGCGGTTTGTGATCAGTATTTAACAAAAAATGCCGGCCGTACAAATATTGATGAAACTTTGTGACACCGAATATGATAGCCAATGCTTTCCTTTGTATCTGTGAGTAGTTTACTTCAGCCGCATTAAGCGTTCGCGATGCATAAGCGACAAGTCTTTCGCGGCCATCGCGCATCCTGTGGGATATGACCGCCCCCACTCCGCGTGCACTCGCGTCCGTCGTCAAATAATTGGAAATCCTGGGTCATAATGCGCTAGCACCTCGCTCGAAACTAGCAACTGCTTGACCTTCGTAAAAGCCTCTGAACACTGATCCGTCCAAACAAACTTAGAATCTTTCCGTAACAACTTATATAAAGGAGATAACAGCATGCTTATATTTTTTACAAATTTAGCGTAGTACATTACCAAACCTAAAAATGAACACAATTCCAATTTCCCTACTGACATTATGCACTATTTTAAATTTTCGCCATTCGTAAATCGTCGCCAATAAACTATTTGTGAATTGCAGTAAAAATACGTTCGTCTTGTGCAATGGTTTATTGAAGAAGGAAGGATGACACCATACAAAATTATAATAAAAACAGTTGTGGATACCTTCATAATAAAATATTAGTATTATTGACAAAACACATTCTTTACTTACTTTACTTAGTATTAAGGTTTAAAGTAATAGTGCATGATTATTCATAACTACTCCGGCGGTAATGCAGAGATGAGCGGAATAGAAGATCTAGATTCTGATTATTGTATTTCTAACAGTCTTAATAAATAAATATTATTAAAAATCGGTGTTTTTTTTTCTCAATCTTAGTTGACAATGTTTTTAAAAAAAACTGATGCTTTTTCTCACCTAATCTTAGTAAATAAGTTTTATTAAATAAGAACTTTTTTTTGCTCACTCTACCTATTTAGTAGGAATTGACACCTATGCCACCACAATATGGCGCCCAGTCGGTCCTATTCTTAGTTGAATCGCATTATAATTCGCTAGATGACTACATATCTGTATTGCGTATCTCGTCAACAACCACAAAACGTTCGAGATGTACATGTTTATTGATCATATTATCAACAATTACTTAGGTAAAAAATGAAGATACATTTTTCAATGATTTGTCAACCGGTGTAAAAATTTACCTAACTCTTTTTTTAACCAAAGTACCTATTAAGAACAAATGACCTTTTTATCAATGTTTGTAAAAAGGGATGTACTCAATATTTTCTAGAACTGTTTCTTCTAATTTGATTATACAAATAACAATCAGAGATTATAACTGGAACAGAATGAGTTCTGCATTATTAACTTGAAGAGTACAGAAAAGAATAGACAAAAGAGACCTTAGGAGAAAAATAAGTGCGATTAGTCAAATTGGATCATAAATAAAACACATCACTCGTTCTTACACGGAATTTATTATTTAATTTATAATAAATAAATTAAAGGCGTCGGTAGGTACCGAGCTAGAGGCACTCGGAACCCGTGAATATTCAGATTCATTCACCGTATAATTGGCTGCTGGGAACAAATTATACGAGAAATAAATATAATTCTCGCGGCCCCAAAGTACCGGGGAGTTAGCAGACCAGCTCCAGATAATTTATGCTAAGGTTTATATACGAATGCAAACATTTGTTTGCGAAACTTCTTAACCTTTTGTACTTCCACCTGTTAATTTTGATACTAGCGGGTCGTTCCCGCGTTTACGGCTCGGGCGGACATAAATTTTCTTCGCAATATCTTTACGAATGTTTTTACGAATTCGCTAAATGCTCTTGATTTACAAAAATATCTTTACGCTACATAAGAAAGGAGAATTCAATGTTTCCAAAAGTATTGGATATTAAATACTTGTTTCATATAATTGAAATTGCGTTTCTTTTCCCGGGATCCACCTAATAAGTTTACCTGGGTGGACTCATCGGACTTGTTCACTGATGAACAAGTCCTACTATTCTATAAAATTTTCATATTCAAATATTTTTTTATTCCGATGTAAATCACATCCATTCAAGATAGGAAATATATTACTTAAATTAAAATAGAACTCCAATCAAACAAGTCTGTTGACACAACGTTTTAAAGTCTAAATGAATTATTGCCGCTATACATTACTCAAAATTAAAGGTGGAAACTAAAAGATTAAATTTGATATTCAATAAGATATCTTAAAATTATTTTCATTTTGAACTCAATCATTATGTTGAAACAAATTAAGCTACATACGTAGTAATTACTAGTATTTAAATTAATTGGAAGGTTGTATTAATTCTTTTGTTTCTTTTTGATGATATTTTCATAATATATCGTTTAGTAAACAAATCTTTTTTTTTGAATATCGAACGATCAGTTCATTTAATTTCACTATCTTTACACTTTGAATATCTTTTGTCATTAAAATCTACGTTTCATTTAATAATAAGTACAGTAGAAATATATTTTGTAAGCTATTAACTGCTGTTTAAATCTAAAGAAAATGTTCACAGGCTCCGCTGTCCGAATAAAAATTTCTTTAGATTTAAATAAGTACAGGAAACTGCTCATAAATAAAATTATTGTAATCACAATGCATTTTTATCATATGGTCAAAAATAAATTTGAGAATTTTTTAAATTTTCTATTCGATCAGTGCTTATATTCGTATTGTCCTATTTAAAATATTTGAGCAAAGTACTAATACTTAAACTAACATTTATTTATACAAGCAATCTTGATAGAGACCACTTAAATTCGTGTTTCCCCTATCCGTTTTCATTAGGCGGTATTACCACGATTTATCATCATCCTTTTGTCCTTAACATAAATCTTAGTGGTCAAGATATCAAATAATAAAATCTATACTCGGTGATCTACATTATGAGCTATCTTATATAATAAGAAAGGAGTTTTCTATCAACTAACAAAATCACAAAGAGATAAATTCGCTTTTTTTTCATTGTTGCTCGAAGACATATTGCGAGCCTAAAAAAATGTCGTCAAAAAAGACGGCATATTTGATACATGCTACAATTCTTTCTTTTTCATCTCTACCGTACGCAAACTCTGAATAAATAAGTCTGATAAACTGTTTCAGGTGGCTCGTAAAAAGGCCGGCCACTTGCGGTGCGTCGCGTGGCTGGGTTATAGTTGGCAGTCTTGTCGCTTGGCGTTGTCGGGC